CTGTGTAGCATTAGCTGAGGTGCAACCTGGCATGGACTTGCATCCGAAGGGGGAAAATTGAGATAATTTCAGTCATTTCATGCAAAGGAGACCAGAAATACAGGTAAACACCAGCCTGATGAGTTGCAGTGGTCCTACAAAGACTTGCACATTAAATGATGAAGCAATCGTTTCAAATATCGTCTGGCAGGATTTATATTGATTCAGTCAGAGAAAAAAAGAAATAAACAAACTGGGAACTTTGAAGTTGGCCTCGAGGTCTGTACTGACAGTTTTTGTTGTTTCAGAGACAAAGGCTCTTGTCACCCCTTTGGTGCTGCACTTTCAAAAATTCACTTCTTTCCATGACGCAGAGAAACTCGGATAATTACGTGTTCTCTTCTGCAAAACAGTACGGTTATCACCTTTGTAAGAGATCTTGTAGATCTGCTGGTAAGTCCTGTGGAATGTCACATGGATAATGCACCTCTTGCTTTGCCTGGATCAGTTCCATTAGAAGTATTCCCTGATCAAAATCAAAGATTTTGAAGGAGTGTTAAGAACACTTTCAATCTAACACGTCATAGAATTTGTCATTTTCACCACAAAGTGATGCATAGGATAATTCCGGTGTGCCGAGAACTGACGTACCATCCTCAGACTTTGTACACACGATACAAAAGTTCGTGGTGCAACAACTATCCGCGATAGGTCAGGTTGTCATGCAACCAGCAAATTCATCTCTAAAACGATTTATGATGGAAGAGACTCCACAACTTTGCCCAGCCTACCGACCCCTCAAATTCTCATCTTTCAGTTTGAGTTTGAACTTCAGCCATGAGATAGACATTTTGGATCCTGCTCCCTATATCCACTTTATTCAGTAAACACTCTGAAATGAGAAGGAGCCTGACTAAATTGCTAGGATTACAGGTAAAGGCCTCTCCTTTGCTGTGCGACAAGCGCAGCTTGGCAAACTGCCAAGCTTGCCTTGTCGGATGGCTCGCTTAAAATCCAACACAGCTTGTGATTTGTCATAATGCTCAGACTACACTGAGAATTCAGCTTGAATGCACAACGGTGTAAGGGCAAACCTAGTAAAAAGAAACACTTCCCTGACACAAAGCCAAACAAAAATTCCTTTTCCTAAATTGTTTCATCCAAATATAAATCAGAACATTCCAAACATCACGTAATTAATCAATCAAAAGTGACTCTGTTTTTTTTTCTCACCAGTTTTAGGATGTCTCCTTTCTTGCCTCCTCTACCTCCATAACTCTTCTCATCGCTGAAGCGGACATTATGAGTCCCTGCTAGGATGGATTCATTCAGGTCATCCAACCTGGAACAGGTAATCACAATGAACCAGTGACGGACCAAGTTCACGGTGCAGCTTTGCAGTAAAGAAACAGAAGGGAAAGGCAACGTGCCTCGTGCAGACTCCACATGGAAGTGCAGAGTGCTCTGGAGGGCACAGCTGTTTCTGAATTACTTGGTTACGACTAGCAAAGATAAACAAATCAACGGCGAATAGCTGCTTGGTAATGACTCCCATTGCCGTTTGCATTATTTCCCACCATAGCGGAGTAATCCAGACACGACCTTAGCAAGGGTTTTGTGCGGTAGACCGGTACAGATGTGTGGGCAGTATGGGAACTGTATGATCAAAAATGGCAGAAAATGTGGCATTAAGAACTGATCTCGTTTTTATCACAGGTGGGCGATAACGAGGCACTGCTTAAAAACACACAGTCACAGGACTGGTCACAATACCAGTCATAAGACAAGTCACATGACCAGTCACAGGTATCAGGGTGAACAACAACAAAGGAATGTTTTGTTGCTGTTCAGTTGAATAGCTTGTGTGCTGAACTCAGACTGGATGTCTTGTGTTGGTTCCTTAATGGTCTTGTGTGGTTTTGTGACAGTCTTAAGGGGCCTCGACTACAACAGTCCATGCTTATGACTGCTGCAAAATGGAAAGTTGCTTCATGAGCAGAAAATTTCTTACTAAAATCTCTTGCGGTGGCAAAGGACTATTTCCAGTTAATTACCTCTTGCACAAGCTGTAGTCAGCCAGCCGTACACCACCGTGGCTGTCTACATACACTGAGGAAGCCTGGAGGTTCTTATGGACCACCCCTCGTCCATGAAGATAGACCACGGCCTCAAGGAGATCGCTGGTGTAGCGGCGCAGGACGTCTAAGGGGATAGGGGTGCCATCAAAGGCTTGCAGATTTAGACTGCCTCCCTTGGCATACTCCATCAGTAGCTAGAACCAGGCAGATGAAGAATTGTAAGAAATCACTTTAATCCCTTCAATGAGCCAGTTCAGTATTCCAAAAAGGAAGAGCATCCAAGGTCATTCGGACACATGGGCGGCGTCTGCCCTATCAGCACAGCCATTTACGGACTAGCACATGTGGTTTGTTCCTAAATGACCTTGCTTTTTTGAAATAACGAATGAGCTCAATAGGGCCCTCTCTAGACAGAAAGCAAACACAGTCCCAGTTCCTTGGTTTCGAAAATTTCAAACAAAATCACACAGACCTAATGATGGCCGCTGTTTTGGACGTATTCTGTGCTCTTTATATTCAGTAATAATCACATGCATGAGATCTGCTCATTGGTGTTACAGACGTCGAGACTTCCAAAAAAGCAAAATCTTATCTTTAAATTTCTGGGACACTTGGAAGAATGACAAGATGAAAATTTCATTCACTCTACTTGCTGGACCCCATCCAGTAATCTCATCTCTATTGTAACCACTTTTCACCCTGTACTTTTCACCCTGTACTTTTCACCCTGTACTTTTCACCCTGTACTTTTCACCCTGTACTTTTCACCCTGTACTTTTCACCCTGTGCTTCACCACTTTAGTGTACCCCCATCCCATCAATCTGTGATTTCAAATCTATAGACAGTGACCGCCCCTTAAATGTTTCGTCAAAGGAAATCTATTTTTCAACAATCGATGCTAAATACCGTATTCATTCTATCAAGATAACCACATGCTCACTCCTCCTACCCCATCAATCTAGGACCTCAACTCTACAATAATCACCCCCTACCCAAATAGGTCCGATGGCCACGCCCAGAAAGAAACCCTCCCCCACCCT